ATTGAAATAAGCAGTATTCCCTAAAACTGCACAAAATTGAAGAATAATTCACTCTTCAAGAGGCAGTAAAATATGAATAGAAATTAATGAAGTTTATCCGGAGTCTATGATAGACAACTTATTAAATTTTTATTACATGCCAAACTTTGTTCATATTTAATTAAAATACAAAATTTAATTTAATAAAATTCCTTAACTCTGCCATAACTTTTGACTATGAATTTTTGATAACTGCCAAGTGGAAATAGCACAGAAAAGTCTTTAAAGTATTTTTAAGCGTTTAAATATAAAAATTATGCAGTAAAATATATTTTTTGGCAAGACTTGCTTTATATAAATTTTTTCTTAATTTTCAGTTATTTTTTATATAGCAATTTTTATTAACTGTGGAGGAAAAAATAAATAAATTGGCGCGGTTTTTATTCAAGCGCCAGTAGGTTTTAACGGTGAAGCCTGTAATTCGCCTTCTCCAGGCAAGCATTTGTAAATCGTTGATCTTTTTGTCTGTCGTAGCGAGTAAAAATCAGAAATAGTTAAACCAAAAAAAAAAAGAAAAAAACACAAAAGGAGCAATTCATATTGCGATACACCAGTAACTATCAGTTCCCAGTAGCATTTACTTTTGAACTAATGTGGAACGAATACTACCCGGCATGAGTAGCAAACGACCACGAAAACTTCAACAATAATAATGCTTTACAGCCAAATAAATTTATTCTTTTGAATTTGTGCCATAAACGCTGATGATGACTGGCGGTGTAATTAGCATTTGTTTCATTAGCGTGCCAATACCTATACCGTCACTACCCATAATACGTTTATAGATATTTATACATATACCATATCAGACAAACCTGTTTATTTATTGATCCTTATTCAAAACTATATTACTCAACAATTAGAGAATGCTTCAGGTATTGAATATCGAGTAAGGTTAACGAGAGCAGATAAAAATCTTTCCAACTAGAATAGATAAGACTTGAGCCATAACTCAATTGTCCTCACCTTAGAACAGTTCAACAAACTGACAAAAACTACTTCCCAAAAAACTTATCTCTTTAGAGAAAATGGAAAATCGTTTATTTTTCGTTCAAGTTTCCTTATATTTAGTGCTAAAAATTTGTGTGGTTTCTAAATAACAGTGGGCTTAAGAATTGCAATAAGCCTAGCAGTATTGAAATAATTAATGAGCTTCCAAAAACTAATCTTATCACACAAGGGCCAAGTCGGTCAAGTTTTACATTAGCTAAGTAATATAAGTATACATAAAATCCTCTCTTAATGGTCAGCAAGGAAATGTAAGCCAATATCTAAAGAGCAATTTCGTTACATACGACTGATTACAAACTGATTTTTATTTCCTTAAATAAAAACGTATAGAGTTGAAATTACAGAGCCTGTCCAGTACCTTATATCCAGTACCTAAAAGCAAACTTCTTTTGCTTTTAGTATATAGTATATACTATAACAAAATAAAATGAGCTTAACATTCCTTTAAAGGGTTTCATCTACCAAATAAATGGAGAAGTACCAATAGCTCTAAACTAGGCTAATGAAGTCAAACATTATTGAATTTCTATGTATGACGTGAACTTTTCTTAGTTTTGAGTACTTTACTAATCTTATCTCGACCCTTACTTGGGAAGTATTCTCTCCATAGACCGAGGCACAAAACAGGACATAAGCAATCGAATACAAAAAGCAAGAAGAGCTTTCGCAAGGCTACGAAATATATGGCGTGCATACAACATCCACACAAACACAAAAGTAAAAATTTTTAATGCGCGCGTCAAGTCTGTCTTATTACTCGGATCAGAGACTTGGCTTGTAACGAAGGAGACTAAAAAGACACTACAAACTTTCATCAACCGCTGCTTGCGAAACATAATGAAGATATGGTGCCCAAGAATGATATCAAATGAAGAACTCTGAAGGCAAACTAACCAAACGTCTATTAATGTTAAAATGTAAAAGCGAGGATATGGGTGGAGAGGTCTTATCCTGCGTAAGCCTTATGACGATATCCCATACGCAGCGCTAACATGGAATCCCCAGGGAACCCGGCGTAGAGGCAGGCCAACGACAACATGGCGAATAACAATTACTACTGAAACTAGTAAACCGTTTAGCAAACATCGACAAATTTCGCAAAATAGAGACAGCTGGAAAGCATTTGTTGTATCCTTAAGGCCCTAATGGAGTATGGAGTAAAATAAAATAAAATCTCGACCCTTACTTTATAGAAAAATCTGAACTAACATTTTATCTAATGGACTAGATCGTGGTTAGAAAATTATGTGTTGATTCTGTTAGGTCAACAAAAGAGTTTAATAGTGAAAGTGAAATAAGATATAGACAATAAAATAAATTAAGTCTAATTTTGTTGTAAAATAATTATTGCTCTTCCAACCACAGTGTCACTTACTCTCTAACAAAAGCAATCGTCATGCAATTTCCTATAGTACCGAATTCTGCTAATTAAATCATAAATAATTAATATTGCAGGTGTTAGAAAACCTCACCTATTATGAGGTGAGCTACTAGACCACAACCATAACGCCCTTCAATGAATTTACTTAAAATTACAAATTAATTAATTAACCCGTACGAAGTATATTCAAGCGTAATAAATTAACTGGGAAATTTGAAGTTTTTGACCAAACAATTTTAACAGTAAAAATGAATCTTAGGTTTTTTTGCATTATTCAAATATCACTTCAGTGCAATAGAAAGTAGAATTATTGTAATTTAATTAAAAATTTAAAGAAAATTAAAAAATATTGTGGTTAAGAATTATCGAAAATAAGTTAATTGAATTTTATGAATTATAAATAACTTTTATGTGCTTCTTTATTAATATGTTATCCAACTTTTAGTATATAGACTATTATATATAAAAAAATCTTATTAAAGTAATTATTCTATAATTAATACTTAGTCATCAATCTCAGCTTAGTATTGAAAATGTATTACTTCCTTATATTCGACTTACTTACTCAAAAAAATTTTAAATTTTATGCTAAAACGATCCATTTGTAACTATCATATATAACGAATAATATATAATATATAAAGAATAAAACGTTTATTATATAAAATATATTTGATTTAAATTTTTTATTTCATATATGAAAAAATTCAGTTACACTTTGCTTTCTAACCATATCGGTTAGACGGTTATATCGGTTGGGCCCGTTCGCCATCAATTTCGCCATTACCAGCAAAAATAGTCGAACAATATTACCCAGTGCTGCTGCATCCAGCGTATTCATGAGATTTGACCTCATTTGACAATCCATTTTAAAAGAAATGACTTCACTGGAAAGGAATTTCAGCCGAACTTGCAACAAATATCTGTTTAAAAATGCTGGAGGAGCCCGTTTTTCGGAAGGTTTAAAAAACCTGCAACCAATAAGTTCGAAACAAATATTAAGATTTTAAAATTAAACAAGCTTTTCTTTGCATTGCAAGCACTGACCTATCAAACATCCCTCGTATAGAAGGGATCCTTGCAATCCTTGATGTTAATTAAACCATACAATATTTGTTTAGAAATGGACAGAAACCTAATCAACACCGAATACATACATCTACATCGAATCTACATTAATAATAATTAGGCTAGCACAAACTAAAAAGAATTTATTTTATTTTCTAATTTAATTAGATTATTTCATTATTATTTATTTATGGAGCCTCTATCAATGGTATTTAGGCCCGGGCCTAAGAGCCATAAGATTCAATTTGACAAACTAAGCACTGCTTGCATTCAATCAATGTAGAAGAGTATATTGAAAAAGAAATAAATTATTAGTAATATCGCTAGAGTTAAAAACTTTCTGAAAATAGTCTGTTCAGATAACTACTTAGTTTACCAAATTTGTAGCTTTTAAATATGATAATGAAAGGAGCACGTACAACACCACAACTCAATATAATTTTAATTTAAGTATTTAGCCTTATATGATAAGACAAATGCGTGGTTAGTCACATTTAGATTTATAATCAAAAATTAAATTAAATTAATCGACCCCAACAAGCAACAAATTCTTGGTACCACCAATAGTTCAAGAACATCAACGCAGGACGATATTACGTGGCTTTTATAACTTCATAAGTTCACGTTCCATTGTCAGACTCAGTAGTGCAAAATTTTCTCTAACCTTTTTACTATATTTTATGCGATTGTGAGAATGTAAGGGGAATATAGTATAAGAATTTTAGAGAAGTTTTTTAACTGTTTATGTACGTTCAACATCAAACAAAATATCTAATCTTTCAACAAAATGTCTAACATGTTGATGTTTAATGTATGAATTACGGTATTAAGGTATTTTAAAGATTTCAATAATATAAAACAAGTTAAAGTTTTGTTCTGGGATTTGCTTATAGTTCAATAAAAGATATGAGAAATACAAGAAATTGCAATTTAAAGCAAATTACTTCATCCTTCGCAAATCTTCTGGACTTCATGTAATATATATTCAACGTAGGACATTAGCCTTGAAAGGCTATTCCACTAACAGAACTACTGCCAGAAGACACAATTCCGGCTAATGCCGCCGCAGAATTAGGATCACCGCCCTGTATTGCTGCCGATGCATATGCACTTGCTTCAAAAGACCCACCGCCATAATCTCCTCCTACACCACCACCATAAGGTCCACTATCCGCACCCATTTGAGCTCCACCATTCGAGTCACTTCCATAAGGTCCACTATTCCCACCGTAAGCTCCACCATTCGGATCACTTCCATAAGGTCCACTATTCCCACCAATAGCTCCACCATACGGATCACTGCCATAAGGACCACTATTCGCACCTGCTTGAGCTCCGCCATACGGGTCACTACCATAAGGACCACTATTCGCACCTGCTTGAGCTCCGCCATACGGGTCACCACCATACATTCCACCACCTGGAGCTTGGTTATTTCCACCAGCGTTACCAGCGTTTGTACAACAGTATGCCGGAACATTTTGGCAACCATCGCCTGAAGGCAAGTAAGCAGTAGTTCCGAAAATTTGCGCTAAAAATAATTAAATGTTATATAATAACCATAGAAATAATTATATTCACGTACTACATATAGATGCCGCAAACAACAACCACAGTGTATATATATTCATAGTCTGACTATTTCTAGATGTCTTTAAAGTGTAGCATTAGCTTTTATAGTAAATCGAAAATATTACGTTAATTATTTAGCAACTGTTTTCAGTCTTCCTTATTAAAATAAATCACACTTTTGATTGGAAAGCTGAAGTCGCCGTAATTACGATAGATGTTCAAATTACATAAGTCTTGATATAGATAAAATTAATGAAATTGAAAAAAGACAAACACAAAAATTCTGATTGCCACTACCTTACATGTCATTTTACGTACAGTTGAAAATTGATAAAAGTTGTAAAATTATTGGCAAATGAAGTTATTGTGCTCAGCGACATCCACTGCCTTGTCCATTATGTGGGTTTCTACCAAATAGGTACCGAAGAAGAAACTGAGACCCGAGAACAACAACACGTTACAGCAGAACTTTCACACTCGAACGGGCCTAATTCTGCTAAATATGTGAAAGGTTTGCTTAATTAATCATTGATCTTGTTTTGTTTTGTTTATATGATTGCAATTGTGGCACCAAATCCCCAGAAAGCTTTCACCTGGATTTACCTTCAGGGATTATTTTGATAATTAGTGATCCAATATCAATTAATCCAGTTTTTCTCTGTCTTTCTTGCGGATGAGAGTTATCAGCTGTTTTGAATAAATTCCATAAAACTCTTTTTACTATTGCAGTTGATGGCGTATAGTCCTGTAAACTTCATCGAATATAGAATTTATTTATAACGGTCTATTGAAACCTTTTTTGTTTTTTTACAAATACTAGAAATCGACTAATAGAAGCAATTTGAAAAAGGTTATGATGCAGGAACGTGATTCATCGTCTTCATGTTCGGCAGTAAGACTATTCTAACATTGTTAGTACAAAAGGCAATCATACCTGTTTAACTAGTATTATCCAATTTTTTTTAAAGAACTATAGTTTATATAATAAAATTAAAGAATTGAGGGAAACTCTATGTAAGCTTATAACTTATAATATATATCTCATTAGTTTATTTTTTTAAGTGATTATATTAATAAATAATTTTTACTACTTCATTAGTAGGATTTTTATGACTTTGTTTTGCAATAAATTTTACTGGCAACTGTTTATCTAATTTAATAATTGAATGTAAATTAAATTTTGTAAACTTAATTAAATTTGTTGATGGTAGCAAAAATTTTTGTAATTAACCCCAATTAATTGGGTGTTGTTTTACTCCCAATATAAAAAATATTTCATACCTTTTTTTGAAAAGTATAGGATGAAGTATATAGAATACATACTTCATCTATCTACCTACGATCATATGCTTGTTCGTGTTTATCATTACAGTTAGCCCAAAATATTTAAGAAATTTATTTTTTATATTTAATTTAGATAATTGAAACTTTGCATTTAACATTTGTTAGTTTGGCGTAAATTTGACAATATCCTATAGTCATCGTATACGAAAGTATAGCAACTGGCATTTACAGCTAAGCTAAGTAAAGCCTTCTCTGCCACTATTCAACAAAATCACTTTTTTAGAGCTTTGTTTTTATAGTTTAGCTTAGGGAACTTTTATATATTGCATGAGCATGAAAAAAAACTTTATGTATCTAAAATACTTACCGGATACCGGATACTTTTTGAGCAGAAAGTATAGCAACTGGCATTTACAGCTAAGCTAAGTAAAGCCTTCTCTGCCACTATTCAACAAAATCACTTTTTTAGAGCTTTGTTTTTATAGTTTAGCTTAGGGAACTTTTATATATTGCATGAGCATGCAAAAAAACTTTATGTATCTAAAATACTTACTGGATACCGGATACTTTTTGAGCAGAAGGTATAGTAACTGACATTTGCAAATGAGCTAAGTAAAGCCTTCTCTACCACTATTGAACAAAATCACTTGTTTAGGGCTTTATCATGAGCATGCAAATATACTTTATGTATCTAAAATATCTTCCAGATATAAAAATATTTATTTGAACTGTTATTTCAAGTGCGAGTTCTCATATCAATAGTTCATTCATGATTTTTATGTACTTATGTTAGTTTCATTTCCTGTCAAATTTCTCGTCCTCCAATTCGCTACATTTCATAAATCAACATAGTTAATAGTAGGGCTATAATCACTTTTCATTCACTTCGATTTCTACAGTTGTATTTTGTGTTTTAATATTTTAGTCAAAATATTAAATAAATATCACTACTTGAAAAAAAATATTAACGCCGTTTGTCTCAAAGTAATAACTAACATATTCATCTGGTTTGAAATAACAAAAAGATTTTTATAAGAAAATTGGTGATACTAGATTAGATATATATTCCATATATATCCAATAGCATTGGTGTGAAAACAGCAAATTATAATTTGGTCAGCGAATTTAGTCAGGTCCTTTCAAATAGAGAAAAAATTTTTAAAAGGGAAATAACCGATCGAAAATTTAAAAAGTACTTGACGGACTTCACTTATTACTCGTGAAACCGTAAGTATTCTGCAGCCAAATTGCTTTAATTAAAAGACGAAAACTACGTGTAATAATATGTTTTCTTCATTTATTGTAATTTGTATAAACATCTATAACTATAAAGAAACTAAATCGTATCTCAATCAAATATATATTTCTATTACAAAACAAATAATTAAAACAAAAGATATAAAGTTAATATATGTTGAGTCAATTGCATAACAAAAATGGTAATATATCACATTGTACTGATTAAATCTGAATTTTTTTCTAAAATATTTTTGGACCAAAATCACAATTGAAGGCAAATTTACCATTTGCACCAAAATCACCTCTTACGCCAAATTTACCATTTCGACCAAAGTCATCATTTGGCCCTGAAGAACCATTTGGCCCGAAAATATCATCTGGACCAAATACAACATTTGGCCTTGAGCAAATACACAATTTAGATCCAAACCGCTATTTGGACCGAATTCATCATTTGGACCCAAATTGCTATTCGGGATAATACTGCTTATATTATTTGAAAAATTTACGTCAAAGTACAAGATCACTTTTTCGAGAGACTGTAGATAAAATCAGAGTCGCAATCATGTTAGTCAACGTTCGAAGCGGACAAGACACCTAGAAGAATAAGAAGATATTGTTCGGATATTTTAAAAACCGAAGAATATTATTCGATTAATTGGTTTCCAGAATTTAAAAGAAAATTGAATTTTTTGTAAATCGGAGTCTTCAAATATTCGAATTTGTGGTTATTATTCGCGTTGAAATTACTTGGAGACTTCGAGAGCAAAAGTTAAAGAGACCCACTTTATTTTAGGTATGATTTTTATGATAGGATTTTAGTTGATGGTTGTACAATTTCGTGTATTGAAAAATTATGTGAGTGTGATGTTTGTTTTGTTTTATTTTATTTATTTTATTTTATTAGACATTATTAAATAAAAAATTTAGTGGATGACAAAAAGTAGCAACATCACCTATCACCTGAAATGGTACGGAAAGTGTAGCCTCCACTTGGGCGAAAGCCACGTCGTAGTGGTAATCAAATGGCCAAAGAACTGAAAAAGTATCCCAACGAAGTGTGCGATGCATATTCCAAAATGAACTCAAGGTAAAGCATTTAAGTTCCAAAAGAGACAAGATCTTACACCAAAACAATATAAAGTTAGACTCGAAAGACCAAAGGAGTTGTTACACTTGTAAGAACGTAGCGAATTTCCAAACATTGTGTTCTTTGATGAGAAAAATTTTCCCATTGAGCATTTCAGAAACTCCCTAAATGATCGTGTTTACGTTGAAGGCGGTAATAAAGAAAACTATTAAAAATTAAAATTTTGCGTTTTTGTTTTTTAATTCTCGTTCATAAGGTACATATCAGATCAAGTACCATACCACACAGTGACGCAATATTCCTTTGTCACTTTATAAAATTTTTTGCAATATTAGCTGAATATTGAAAATAACAATACTAACATATTAGCTAATACTGATAACGTTGTCATTAACACCTAAGATAGTTACCTTAACACCATTAAACAAAGAATAAATAGAGAAGAATTCAAACAAATCTGACAAACAAACAATAAATGCACTACAACTTTCACGGTCTCAATAGTGGATAATAACTAGCCCATACCATCTGAAAAAAATAATTTTTATCAGGAACACTAAACAGACATCGAAAGCAAATGGGGATTTGACAGCTCGACCGATTTCCTTGGCTCTCTACAACTTCATAAAATAAAAAGGCGCACGAAGCGCGTAAACTCGTGTTAAATTTCGTTTATATGTATTAAAGATGATGTAATGTAAGTAAATTCCTTTAATAAAATTATAGAAACTGTCATTTTCATAATAACAAATACCACTTGTATAACCCCAAGAAAAGCTTTTTGTATTCATCCTATTATCTTGCAACTAATCTGAGGCTATTAAGCTTAATATTCACTTCAAATTATTTGGAGTAAACATAAGACAGTATCTAATATATGTCCAATAATCTGTCGCAATATCAATTAAAATGTGATACCTTCCTCAGTTTATGGCAGTTTTTTAACTCATTATCCTACAAGAACAACCGGGATTGAAACCAGTGCGATTCCACATGAGTATCTCAAGTCTTGTAGAAATGCCTCAGGACTCGAAAACAAATTGGGCCAGTTTGGAGTTTGCGAGAAATTAAATATAAAACTACTCTTTCATTTAGCAGATCATAGTAGTATTTTTGAGACTGAATTTATTGTCAGCCATCTGAAATGGTCACTATGAAATAATTTCCATTAATATCTACATTTCAATTAATATCTGAATAGGAAATAAGATTCAAATTGGTATTTGTACAACATCTAGATTGGGTTGCCATCTATAAGCAGGTGGCTTATGAATACTGTTTTGTACATGTTTATTTATTAAAAATTTCTTAGAATAAAACTTTAGATACTGCGGAACAATGTAGGAAATGATAATGCTAGTTATAAATACTTCTCTGTTCGGCGCACCATGGACTGACTATAAAAATCTGCTATAAAGTCCAAAATATTGAATAATTAAAACATTAAGATTATTGCAGGTTTCTATAAAACTACAAAGAGGTGTCTCGGACCAAAATGAAGTTACCTTTAAATATTATTAAAACACTGTTTTATTTTATCGGAAAAGACAAACCATGTAATTCAATAGATACAACGCTTAGTATGATATTTACTCTCATCTCCTGACATACAAAAATAAAAATGCATTATTAACACAATATGAACAAATTATTATTTGTGAGGAAACGTACGCATATGTAAATAACTACGTTAATAAAGCAGAAACGAAAATTTCTTTTATTGCTATTTTATTTAATTAATATTTTTTCGCATTAATATTACATTAATTTTTAAACTATTTATAAGTAAACCATATATATTCTCTTGATTATATCCATTATTCGGACCATAAGCAGCGTTTATTTGCAACTAAAAAATTGGATTTTCATATCCGATGAGAACTTATTTATTATTGACCTGATGAAAAAGCTGACCAGACTAGCAGCATTGTTTATGGCGACCATACTCACCAGGCACCACGCTGACCATACTGACGATAATGATCATACTGACCATAATAACCATACTGATCTTGGAAACCATTCTGACCATACTGCCCAGGCAGACCATACTGACCAGCGTAACCATACACACCAAGCTGACCATATAGACCAACCTTATTATACTGATCAGGCTGATCGGGCTGACCATACTGATCTGGCTTACCATTCTGGTCAGGCTCACCATTCTGATTAGGCTGACCATACTCATTTGGCTGACCATTCTGATCTGGCTGACCATACTGATCTGGCTGACCATTGTGATCAGGCTGACCATACAGATCAGGCTGACCATACTGATCAGGCTGACCATACTGATCTGGTTGACCACTCTGATCAGGCTGACCATACTGATCAGGCTGACCATACTGATCAGGCTGACCATACTGATCTGACTGACCATTCTGATTAGGCTGACCATACTGATCAGGCTGACCATACTGATCAGGCTGACGATACTGATCAGGCTGTCCATTCTGATCAGGCTGACCATTCTGATGAGACTGACCATACTGATCAGGCTGACCATACTGATCAGGCTGACCATACTGATCAGGCTGACCATACTGATCAGGCTGACCATACTGATTAGTCTGACCATACTGATCTGACTGACCATTCTGATTAGGCTGACCATACTGATCAGGCTGACCATTCTGATCAGGCTGACCATTCTGATCAGGCTGACCATTTCTGATCAGGCTGACCATTCTGACCAGGCTGACCATTCTGATCAGGCTGAACATTCTGATCAGGCTGACCATTCTGATCAGGCTGACCATTCTGATCAGGCTGACCATACTGATTAGGCTGACCATGACTGATCTGGCTGACCGTACCGATCAGGCTGACCATACTGATCAGGCTGACCGTACTGATCAGGCTGACCATACTGATCAGGCTGACCATACTGATCAGGCTGACCATACTGATCAGGCTGACCATACTGATCAGGCTGACCATACTGATCAGGCTGACCATACTGATCAGGCTGACCATACTGATCAGGCTGGCCATACTGATTTGGCTGACCATTCTGATCAGGCTGACCATACTGATCTGGTTGACCATGCTGATCTGGCTGACCATTCTGATCAGGCTGACCATACTGACCATTCTGATCCGGCTTACCATTCTGATTAGGCTGACCATTCTGATTAGGCTCACCATACTGATCTGGCTGACCGTACTGATCAGGCTGACCATACTGATTAGGCTGAACATACTGATCTGGCTGACCATTCTGATCAGGCTGACCATTTTGATCAGGCTGACCATACTGACCAGGTTGACCATACTGATCAGGCTGACCATTCTGATCAGGCTCACCATTGTGATTTGGCTGACCATACTGATCTGGCTGACCATACTGATGGGGCTGATTAGACTGATCAGGCTGACCATACTGATCAGGCTGACCGTATTGATTAGGCTGACCGTTCTGATCAGGCTGACCATACTGATCAGGCTGACCATTCTGATCAGGCTCACAATTCTGATTAGACTGACCATACTGATGGGGCTGACTAGACTGATCAGGCTGACCAAACTGATCAGGCTGACCGTATTGATTAGGCTGACCATACTGATTAGGCTGACCGTTCTGATCAGGCTGACCAAACTGATCAGACTGACCATTCTGATCAGGCTGACCATTCTGATTAGACTGACCATACTGATCAAGCTGACCATACTGATCAGGCTGACCATTCTGATCATGCTGACCATTTTGATCAGGCTGACCATTCTGATTAGGCTGACCATACTGATCAGGCTGACCATACTGATCAGGCTGACCATACTGATCAGGCTGACCACACTGATCAGGCTGTCCATTCTGATCAGGCTGACCATTCTGATGAGACTGACCATACTGATCAGGCTGACCATACTGATATGGCTGACCATTCTGATCAGGCTGACCATACTGACCAGGTTGACCATTCTGATCAGGCTCACCAATGTGATTTGGCTGACCATACTGATCTGGCTGACCGTATTGATTAGGCTGACCGTTCTGATCAGGCTGACCATACTGATCAGGCTGACCATTCTGATCAGGCTCACTATTCTGATTAGACTGATCATACTGATCAAGCTGACCATACTGATCTGGCTGACCATTCTGATATGGCTGACCATTTTGATCAGGCTGACCATTCTGATTAGGCTGACCGTTCTGATCAGGCTGACCATACAGATCAGGCTGACCATACTGATCAGGCTGACCATACTGATCTGGTTGACCATACTGATCTGGCTGACCATTCTGATTAGGTTGACCATACTGATCTGGCTGACCATACTGACCAGGCTGACCATACTGATTTGTCTGACCATACTGATTAGGCTGACCATTCTGATCTGGCTGACTATTCTGATCAGGTTGACCATACTGATCAGGCTGACCATACTGATCAGGCTGGTCATATTGATTAGGCTGACCATTCTGATCAGGCTGACCATACTGATTAGGCTGACCGTTCGGATCAGGCTGACCATACTGATCAGGCTGACCATACTGATCAAGCTGATCATTCTGATCAGGCTGACCATACTGATCAGGCAGACCATACTGAACTATCTGACCATTCTGATCAGGCTGACCATTCTGATCAGTCTGACCATTCTGATCATGTAAGCTTGTTTTTTCATTTGTTATCAAATAATCGTTTGGGTTTTCTTTATCGTTTATATACCCGTCTTCGTTTGGATTAGTTTGTTTATTGGGATAAAGGGAATCATAATCTGCTATTGGAAATTTTTCATATGGTGTCTCTTCCTCATTTGTAATGAGCTGTTGGTTTTGAAACTCGTGGCTATTTGAATTTGTATTTTCGTCCAAATAACTATAATCATTTGGATTCGTTTGCTTGTTCGGATAAAAGTCATTATTCGTATTCGTTTGTTCATTTGGATACATCTCTGGATTTGGATTCGTTGGATTAATTGAATTTATATGCCCTTCTAGACCAATATCTAGATTTATATTTATTGCATTGTTATTTTCAGACTGATTTTGTATTTCACTCGGTTGTTCATCTAGATTTGAAAAAAAACTTGTTATTGTGACCTACTTGGTTCTAAGAATTTATGTATTGAATACTACTTATTTGTTGAGTTCCACTCTGCTGACTGCTGGCATCTATCTCTCCTTCTTGCACATGCTGATCATTATCGACATAAATACCGAATGATGTAGAAAAACCTGCAGATGTTTTAAGAAGGTCATTTACCCACGCACCGCTATATTTCTCAATTGCTTCCTTTACAAGGGTTTCAGAATCAAAAAGAAATCTTCCATAAACATGGCCTTCAAAATAAAAATTATAGTTATTATATCACATCATTAATATTTGTAGTGGTATTACCAATGAGTACTATTGCAAAAGTTGCAAAATTTGCTATTCGTGACATTGTCACATTCATTTCTTCAGCAGTTTTAAATTCTTTTAAAGCTGACTCTTGCTTTTATGAGAAAAAATCGTTAAAGTTTCTGTATATTACCAGATGTTTTCTGTTGCTTCTTAATTACATTTCTTAAATTTCTGATTGTGGACGACTATATACGTACCTGTGTGCATCTATGTTATATACAAATAATATGTACTTTTTATGGATCACAAAAATGTATACGTTTTGCAAGGGCAATAAAAAATGATAATTACTTAGACCTGCTTGAATTCGATAAAATCGCTTTTGAAAATCGTTAGATTAAAGAAACAGATTTTAAATCGTTATCGTTATTATTATCAATTATTTTTCACAAATAAAGATTAACGTTGTTAACCGCTGGAATGGAGTTCTACTTTACATTATCCAGTGATCAATCTACAGGATTTGTATTGTGTTTGATTTTCTCTGTTTTGTTAAAATCATAACAGAAATCCCTCTTTTTCCCTCATTCTTTCATTTGCTTGATTAATCACGGGTTTATGTCTAAAGCCGTGTCACTCAATAGTAGGTATCTGTGATCACAACCGTGATTCAGTAACAAATGCTTTATTGATAATGATAATGAGTTATTCATCTGATTTTACAGAAGTATGGTTTAAAGCCAATCATATATTCGTAATGGAATATATATTTCATTCGTTTTAATTGAGTGCAATTATGAATTGGTATGAGCATCCACGGAATTAAACAATTTCAACGATCTGTCTTTGATGCATATTCTCGATTTCATTTCTGTGTGTATACATTGTGACCGAAAAGTTTTCGGAAATTCTCATTTAAAATTCGCGCGCTGTATATTTTTCGATATTTTAAGAGTTTCGAAAACTCCGCTATTTTGTAATACTGGATGTCTTGCCATTAGCCATTATAATAGAGTCTTATTTCACACTTTTAACTTTCCTTATATTGACAGTTTCAAAGCATTTAGAGTTGTATTACAAGCCAGTTGTAACCCTTATTCTCTCTAGCCAAGAGCATCACCTGTCAAAAGTTAGACATATGTAAGATTATTGTTTATTTATTTATTGGCTTTATTTTTGTTTTTTTTGTTTTTGAGTTTGATGCCTAAGTCTTGTATTGAAAATAGTTTTCTTGACAGTACCACCTCTTGACAGGGGGTATCTGCAAAGGCGAAGTTTAATTCATAAATTCTAGAAAAAGTCGTCTATGTAATAACTTTACAATAACTTATACAATAAATACATATGTTAGAAAAAAATTTTTTTGGACTTCGACCAAGAACTATCTATGTTATAAATGTTGTAATTTTTTAATTTGACGATTAGCTCATTACACCATTTAAACGCTTTAGAGATATCAAACAAAGCTATCCTAAAACAAAGCTAGATTTTACTTCAGTGAGAGTTTTTGTTATAGTTTCAAAAACTCTTCCTAGATAGATCAATCGAAAAATTTTCTTGCAATCTGAACTGTTCTGTGGGAATACCATTTTTAGTCAAAGTTGTATGTTTGAGTTTTGCCAATATTATTTTTTGTGCCATTTTACCTATAGTATTCAGCAAACTGATAGGTCAATTTTCAGAGAATGGCAAATTTTTTTTTTCAGATTTTCGAAATGTTTCTTGTTGGGTGTTAACAAATAAATGAAACTATTTTTGTAAACAGTTTCTGTCTGATTCAATGCACTTGTATCGCATTATTTCAATCCGTTTCACATTATTTCCTCTAAAGCAGTAAAATTACTTCACACATCTAATTTATTGAAGAATATTTCATATTTCCTTTGCGTTTACTATTTCTAATAAGACACTCCAACTCGACACCCAATGCACGATTTTGTAGAATATCAGATAGAAATGTCATGATCTGCTTGATCTGCTTGATCTGCTTAAAAACGCGTCAAGCGATAAAGACGTCGCTTAGAATTTTCTTCATGAAGACACACATATTCTTTAGCCCAGAATCTTACAGCAGATAACTATAATAACCTTAATATTATGTTATATATAATATGAATAACTTAAGCAATATACAGATAAAAGTTTACTTATTAGCACCTGGTAGACCAATTATTCATTGATTATCACCAATCGACAAGTATACAAAAAATTTTTCTGTATAACATAGCGATAATGTTTAATAAAACATATAGCCCTACCAAAATGTGTGTTAAAACAACATATCTATGTAAAATATATCATATTTGACTAAGAACCTTTTAATCATTGTTTCTAGTCCGTTAGACCATTACCAAAATAGCTCAATTCCCTCAACTCCCTTATGTCTTTTTGTTTTTTTTATTAATGCAACTAGTAAATATAGTTAGGACTAACAAGCATTTTTAGTTTGGTAAATTATAAATATTTTTACATTTAGGTTTTATTACTTAATGAGGTCAAAGGGCATTGAACGTTTTAATCTCCGTGCTGAGTTACTTGCGTTGAGTAATTGTAAATCGTGTGCATTTTCATGTTGAGTAATTTTCATTGCGCAAACAACTGTATACGTCCTTGATGGCTTTGATTCCCATATAA